TGACAAAAAAGTTTATTTTCATTTTTTGAGTCGACATAGAGAAGACTGAACTTTGCCCCCCTGTGCGACACGCCTTAACCGTCTCGAATCGGCACCAAAATTTATCCATATGTGATATTTTCGACAATCGTAACATCGATGTAGGGGTAGAGGCTTAGGAAATGTGATGTAAAAATTTGCTTCCTACATTTAAGGCCCACCCTAATGTATATAGGGTGCCCCATTCTCCAAACAAAAGATCGGTAGTGTTTTTTCATCGGAATTATAAAATTTATTATACTTTAAGACCTTCGCCACAAAATTTCTGAAAATTACTAAGATTTACATTAGCCTTTCCCACAAAATCAAGTTATTCCTATGGTTTATTTGTCAAATGTAAAGCCAAATTACCAGGACGCAATCAATTCGTTGACGGCGAGCTATAGCGACGACGACCATATTTATGGCTGCCAAATGCCGGACAAAAAATAATTTTGGTTTTTTCCCACAAAAGCTAGAGGATTTTAAAACCTTTTTCAATGTTTCTAGATTTATAAGTCCTGAAGCAGCCGTCCCCGATGGACGGTAAAAATATAAATAAATTTAAATCAACCGATAAACGTCGGCGGTAGAAACGCTTCCGCCGCAATTATGAGCCATTCCACACTGAAAATAAATTCTGCGTAAATATAGCGAAAACTTGCGTACATCTTACGAAGCTTTTCGTCATTTTGAGCCACGAAAGTTTTCATTAATTATACAAAACCGTTTTCGTACATACTACGAAAATATGAGACATCAGATCTTTAGTATATTTTACGGATGTATTCGTAATATTCACTAACGAATACTATTTACTAAAAAAATTCGGTACTATTTACTTAAGATGTTCGTACTATTTCTTTGTCTTTTCGCAATTTTTGTAAAATGTACAAAATTAGTTCGTATATCTAACTAAATTTTTTTAGTAAAATCTGCGCTTGTTTCGTAGAATGTACAACTGTTTTTCATTCTCCACACTGTAAAAAAGATAGTACGAATTATAACACAAAACTTTTATTCTATTTTTATCGTAAATATTAAGCGTTTTTGTTTAACAAAATATTTTGCAAAAACGCTTTACATTATTCATTAAAATATAATGAGTGTTGTGTTATCATTTGAGCTACGGCTGTTATCGCGTAATAAAAGAAGTGCAGATATTACAAGTATAACAATCGTAAATAATGAGCTCAAGCAATTCAAAATTAATAAAAAAAGTTATTTTACTTATAAATAAGTATTTTATTAATGTGCATACATTCTTATGGTTCGTAGGTTCTATAATACATTTTATTCTTATTGCTTATCCTTTATTAAATAAACAAACTTTAGTTTAAATCTAGTTTCATTCATTTAAATTAACTTCATTCATCAATTAAATTTATTGTTATTCATTTAATTTAAAGTTTTATAAATATAATTTATGAAACTCAAACAAAATTCTTATTAAATAAATTAAGATATATTAAGGTATATATTAATATATATACTCTGGCCCTCAAGGCCTCATATGCACTCAAAAGTGTTTCGAACCGCAAGAAAACAATAAAACTCAAAAAAGAAATCTTCATTCTGAGATAAAATAATGCCGAATAAATGAGTTTTATTTTTGATCAGAAAAAAAACTCAAAAAATAATCATTACTTTTGCTAAAAAAAAGTTTAACTCATAAGAATAATGCTAATTTTTAATAAAAAGAAAAATAATTCACACAACAATCATTATTTCATAACAAAAAACTAACTCTTGAAAAAAGAAGTTGTATAAAGACGCGCGAAAACTTAAAAAATTAATGATGCAATACTTTTTTAAGTTTTCTGCACGCCTTCATAATGAAGAATGTCTCAGGCCTTAACTTTTGTGATCACATCAAACTTTTAAAGTAAGGCAGTCGCATTTTCTACGAATAATTTTTAAGTCAAATTTACTTCAGCTAATCTACATGTACCTACACACACACTCACATTATTAGCACTTAAAACTCTATATGTACTGACAACTACACATATTTACTTGTAGGTACATATTTATGCATAATAAAACTGGAAATATTTTTTATTCTGCTTAAATAAATACATGCACATAAATCACACTTCTACCTATACTTAATAACCTATCACGTTCATATACTTATACTTACTACTAATCCTATGTATGTACAAACGCACACTTACTCACATTCACATCCACCTTATCTAGAAGTTAATTTGAAAGAGCCTAATCGTAAAGCTGTTTGCACATTAAGCCACCACACATAGATACGCTGGACTAAAATTCCAACACCTTGCCTAAGCATAAGCGTACATGCTTCGTACACAACCACAACAATAAACACACACACACACGCCCATGTAATCTTGCACTTGCATTATCATGTCTTTTGTGTTTCGTCGTCTCCCCCCCACCCCCCCCCCCCCCCCCCGCCCCTCCTTTTCCCCCCGACAAACTCAAAAAGCAATACAAAATTTTCAATTAACTTAACTCTTTGCATTCTCGTTCTCTTCCTCCACCATAACTGGACGCTGCAGTGTCATGTTGCAGCCGCAATGGTGGCCGCCTCCACGCCATTCAGCTACTCTTCCGTACAACAGTATGAAGGCAATCGTTCGATCATGTGACGGCAGCTGAGCAGCTGTAGCTCCTGTAGCGGTAGCAGCAGCTGCGGGCGAAACATCGTACATCATCATCATCATACGCATCCGCACACGCACTTGCAACAACATCAACAACAGCAGCAGCAGCAGCAGCAGCTACAACGCAGTTGCACACGCTGCCAGAGCTTTCATCGTCATCATCATCGACAACGACGGCGAAGCTCTGCGTTGCGTGAAGACTTCAGCAGCATGCCGACATCTAGCAATGACTGCAGCGGCGCTAGCAATAAGAACAATACCAACACTAATGGTCGCGGCAATGGCGGCAGTAACGGTAGTCACACAAAAGCGGTTGTTACTTTTTCACCACCGATTGTTGCAGCATCGATGCAAGTACCGCCTTCGTTGTCTGGCTCAATGATCACCATTTCCTCGGTGCCGACATCGTTAATGTTGGGCGCACCGCCAACACCTGCAGGCGGACACTCACGCAGTGCGGCCACAACACCGCTTACGACGAATGTCAGCGCAAATGCGACGAACACCACGAAGCATTGCAGCTTTGCGCTTACGCCACTCATACCGCCACCGCCACCGCCAAGGCAATTGTCGTTTCTCACTTCAGCGCGTTTTCATGCGAACGCCGCCCACAACGCTAGTAAAGCGGAGGCGGCACCGCATACGCCACCTACAACATTTGGCAATTCAACGCTTTTGCCACCAACAATAGCAACAGCATCGGCACCATCACTTATCGAAACAGTAGGCAATTTGGCACAGTCGCCGCCGCCAATCGTGCCGCTCACACCACTAACGCCAAGTTCACACACAGAGCTCGAAGAGCACGGCAAGCATGCGCCACTGGAGGCTCAACAAAGCGCGCTTAGTCAATTAACTACATTGGAGGATGTTGTCATAAGCGGCAGTGCGTGGAGTATACGTGTGGAGGATGAGTGCAGCGAATGAAGGCGAGCGAGTTGGTGAAAGATACAGAGAGAGAGAGAGAGAGAGAGAGAGAGAAACAAGGCTTCCGGATTTCATACTACAAAACTAATACTTTTTAGTGCAGCCGCTAAGTCATGCAATGCGTTAATATAGCAAAGCCTCCTAGTACTTCCATGCAGCTGTCAAGCAGTTACACTCATAAAGGTAATCGTAAAACGTCGCTCATTTATAAATTTAATGACAACATTTAAGCAATTAATTGTCTGCTCTGCTATGCATTATAAAATTTCTTGTAAAAAAAAACTTTTATTACTAAGCGTAAGTTCTCTTTTGACATAATGTAAGTGGCTAGTTTAAATAGCGTCTAAATAGATATACTTAAAGAGATATTATATGTAGCAGTAAGAATAATTCGAGAAAATTACTTCGTGTGTTATTTATAGTATTATGGTAAAAAAAAAAACAAAAAGCTAATTGCCCCCGTTGAGTCATTTAAGGCATTTTTATTGCACTAGTACCTGTCATACATACCAAAAACTGACACAAACACACATCCTTGACACAACAACCGAAATATGGCACAACTGCACAATGAAACATTTTCCTTCGCAGATCTTTCATATCCTGATTATATATATCTAACCCTGATTGCCAAAAATAAATTTTAGTTTCGTTTTTCTGACCAGCTGTCACAAAACTTCGCCTACAGAGCGCAGCATTCAGATAATATATATATTTCGTTGTGCTGATCGTGAATTGAAGTGAAATGTATAAAATTAACACCGAAATAAATGCCACGTAAGAGTGTTATTTTTATCACGTAGCAATAATGCAGAACGAGAATCGACCCCAGTTTTTATAATAGGGGTCTTCATCAAAAGTGATAAACGCTTGATAAACTTGATGAAGTGTTAAATTGATCATTTTTATAAATGAACTGTCAAACTTTATATGGAAATGTATGGAAACCAAAGTTGATCACTCTATGAAACGACTTTGGTGGATAAATGTATAAATTTTAGCAAAATTCAACCCTTACAAGTTGCCAAGTAGTCGCTTTTTCTACGAACAAATGCAAGCAAATGAACATAATGGAAGAGGTAAGAATGAAAGCAAACTGGCCATATAAGTTAAATAATAAACAGTTTAAGAAATTTATCTCTTTATCCCTTTAGATGAAGACCCCTAATATATTTTAAGAGAACTGTTGGAGATAAATTTTTGATACTAATAGGTGCATCTGCACAACAATTTAAATATATTAACCTCTTTCCAGCTAAGGTCGCAAAGTTCTACAGCTTGAAATCCTAAATTACACCGCTTCTCAACGCCGAAAAGAGATTATGACTTGGTGACTAGATATAGATAGATTGGCGCTTACACTTATGTCAGTGTTTGGCCGAGCTTCTCCTCAGAATGCTTTTTTTTACGAGGAGTGAGCATCCAAAACCTAACGCCAGAACTTCTAGTGTGAGACTTTAACTCAACCCAGACATTCTACCATCATGTATCGGCTGTCCGCATCCCGCACAAGAAAAGTACACACTCAGGCCACCGTTGGGCCATTGTGATGTGAGACTAGAGTCTTCTTACGTCCATCCTCGTACCGTAGAAACGGACAAAATCGTAGATACTAGCTAAATGCAGTTCAGCCAAATATTTAAAGGAATAGTGAAGAAATGAGCACCCACGAGCAATAGGCAATGCTATGCGCTTTAAATTTCCTCCTCATCACGGCAACTACAACAATAGTCATTTGACTCCATACCCATTCAACTACCTTGTGTTGCCATAAGGCAACGCGGATAGTGGGATAACCGTACAATATTGACTCCATCTTCCTCGACTGGAAGCACAATTTGATCTTCTCTGTTGGTCTTAGGGCCCCTGAGCAGCGCCGTTGTTGTTTTTAAAGTACTGCGCCTTTATCTTGAAATCTGCCATACGTTGCCTAACTTTGTGGCATAGCTTGCGTCGGGTTCAGTGTTACCTCTCTATTGAGCTCCCTATATCAATTGCGGCACTTGCTTTGGTTTTTTTAAATGGCGCGAGACATTCTTCGGTGTTCTTTCAGACTTGCTGAGCGAGTGCGGGTGTCGTTTACAAAGATGCTAACTGTCCTTCGTACATGCAGGTTTTCAGCATTGATCTATCCTTGTGTTTATGGAAGTACATTTTTTTCCATATCCTAGTTATATGGCAATTAGTTATAGTGGCTAAGCAAAGTAAAAAAAAAACACCAACTCTGCCTACGTGATACATTGGATTTGGCTGTTGGCCATTTCTCAACATTTAGCTGAACATTTTTTTTTTTTTAGTTTTTGACGCTCTTCCAGCAATACATATAGTACATGGATTTGGATTTTGGATTTGGCTGTTGTCCATTTCTCTACATTTAGCTGAACATTTTTTTTTTTAGTTTTTGACGCTCTTCCAGCAATACATATAATATATGTATATAAAATATTTTCATTATATTTTTCACTTACCATTGGGGGTTGCTACACTTTAAATAACCAAAATTTTCAAACGACACTCATATACATATGTTTTTATAGGTCTATAACTTGTTTGCAGTCAATCATAGTGAATAGTAGAATTATTTATAACTTTTCACGCTATTGGGCAGATGCAGTGGTTACCCACAAGTATATGTGAATGCATGGATGTACATATATACATATTTACATAGAAATGTCAACTTAAACACACATACACAATATTTTATTAACAAGTTTCGACTGACATCCACACACACACACACACACACACACACACACACAAAATCATATCATTGTATATTTACTCAGATATCAGAGTTTCATTTCGCCACCCATGGCGTATACGTAACATGTGTGGGCAATTAGTTTCAATTAAGTCGTACAAATTGCTATGAAACCTAACCTTTGTACACTATTTAAATATTTATGTTGAATTTATACAATTAAAAGGTACGCGTGGTATGCATGCACACTATAGTGCGAACATACATATATGTATATGTATGTAGGTATGTGTGTATTTGCAACCATAAGCACACACAAATATCAAATTTAGAACGTAAATTAATTTAGTTTTAACCACAAATTAATTACGCATTTAAATAACGATATGTTAAAAAAAAACATAAATTATTTGTATTTGTAATAATTGCTTACACATTTATGTATGTATGTTTGTATATAAAAATACATATACAAATATATATTTACATATGTACATATATAATTATTTACCAAAAAGTAAGTGTTTTTGTATGTGCGTGTAAGTATGTAGGCAATCAATTAAATTGCTTTACTCATTTGTATACATATTTGTGTTGGGAACTTAACTTAAATTAAGACCACAATGATGTGATTGAAAATAATGCGCTCAATTACTTATGCCTAATTGCGGTTGGCTTAAGAGCATAGAGTAAAGTTTGACACTTGAAAGGAAGAGCGCTTAAGGAGTATTAGCTGTAGGACCATAGCATTTTTGGTGTCAATTTGCTAACTACTTAATTGAAAATATATTGTAAGAATAATTTTTAAAATAAATCTTATAAGTAGAACAATGTTTGTATTTTATTTAAACAAAATTTTATAAAAATTTAAAATCAAAAATTATTTATAACAAGCTAAAACGACTTTCCAACGGCTCATTGGAATTTCGCTTTGGAATACAAAACGCTTTATGCACAGCTTGATTCTAGTGAAGCAGGCAAAACGGAAACTAATGACACTTTGCTGGAATCACCCCAATTGCATAGCAAATATTTCGCTTACATATAAATATTAGACTGCATCACCACAAAAAAGTTGCAGTTTTTTCCGACAGCATTACAAAGGCTATTCTATTTAAAGAGGTGTGCCAAAGTATTTCGGAAAAATATTAAGATTTACGTGAGCTAGACCAAATTGAAAATGTCTCCAAAAATGGAGTTTTTGATGAATACAAATGTTTTGTTGATGAATTAAAAAAAAAAAAGTCCCCTCAGATGACGAAACAGTTTAAGCTTAAAAACTCTGCATAAAAATATTTGAAAAAAAATTTCAACGAAATCGTAATAATGAGATTTTTGATGCTGTTTTTTAACTTTTTTCAAAAGTTATTCAAGTTTTTCTTATACCAATCTAAGAAAAAGGTTAAAAAAAGCATTAATAATCAAATAATTACGATACCGTTAACATTTTTTTTTAATATTTTTATACAGATTTTTTAAGCTTAAAATCTTTTTGTCACCTGAGGGGATTTTTTTTCAATAAATTCTTTAAGAAAAGTTTTTCCATTTTTGCAGGTATTTTCAAATCGGTCCAGCTCACGTAAATCTTAATATTTTTCACAAATATTTTGGTGCAAGTCTTAAAATATAGTATATGTTATAATTCCATTGGAAACACAGTACAATTTTTTTTTTTATGAGGAGTGTTGCAGTCTAATAGAAATATATTTAAACAAATTGAATTCGATTCCTAGTTATGTAACAAATTAGAGGAAATTTTTTCTAAGTAAGTAATTCTAATTGTAAAAAAAAATAATAAGCATTACAAGCAAGCATAGTAAATTGCCTAAGCGCTTCAAGAAAAAGTGCCCTAAATTCATAAGGAATTTAACCAAATAAAACTAATTATAAAAGGGGAAAAAATTATACCCTTATCTACTATTTATATGTATGTAGGTGTACGAATGTTAAGCGTAAGATGCTATTTAATAGCAACTGCATATAAACCATTATAAATACTACGCATACACAATCATTCATACATACATACATACTCGCACACACATTTGAGTTACAGCTAAGCACATAAAAAAAAAGAACATTCAACAGACAACAAATAGTAAGTGGTAAATCTCAGACATTCAAATTTAGTCACATAAATACTTTGACAGCTAAGCTTGTTAAAGCCTAAATTTAACTACAGTGAAGTGTGTAAATATCTACGAGGGTAAGTAAATGTATGAAACTGTTATAATTTCGAATAAGTATATCAAACTCAAGACCGAAGCAGACTTTTCGCATACACATACATACATGCATATGTACTTACTGACGCTAGCGTTGAGTGATATTTGTATATGCACTTGTGATCAGCTAATTAAGACCGTTTGATAAAATTTGACTATTTTTCTTTTGTTTATTATTTTTACGTACAATTCTAGCTAATTATATAACAAGCACCATACAAATCCACATTTCAAACGTTGTGCAAATATTACAAAAGCAAAATCAAGCTTTAATTCAAATTTTTAAATCTCATTGATTTTTGATAATTTTTTTTCTGACTGTAATACGCCTTTTTTCCATTGCCAAAAATCAAGGAAATTTTTTAGCGATAAACTTGCATTTTGGTATACTAGAATTTTGTAGGCAATAAAACTGCATACTAAAAAAAAAATCTGAATAAAAAGTTGAACATTTAGATTAAACTTGCAGGTATTTAATAATTTTTGCACAATTGT